TGTGGTGGGGGTGTGGCCGGCCAGGCTATCTTTGACGAACCGTTCTACCAGGCCTGGCTCCTTCCAGAACCTTCACATGCACAGCAATGGAGTGGGCCCAGATCGGTGGGTCGCATGTCCGTTAGTAGCAAGGGTGCAAGCTTCATATCTCCCCAGGATGCCCTCCAAAGATCAAAAAGGTTTTCCCCAGGGCTGCCAAACACCCACCTGCCGCGCAAGCACAAGCAAAACAGAATGCGTCGACCCGTCCAAATCCCGAGCTGGGAGGAGGGTTCCCAAACGCCCACCCGTCTGGCATCCTGTGCAGCGCGACGCCCGGCAGTTTCCCGGCAGCTGCCTGCCGCGCCAGCAGCTTCACGTACTGGTTGATGGGCCGCTCGCCGCCGGGGTACTCCTTCGCTTGCCACCTGCAAGATGTAATCAATGAGAAAACAGGTTATGTCATCAAACGCTCTCACGCATGCAGCAAGGGCGTGCGTAACCACATTTATGCAGACAACCTTGCGCCTTGCTGAATCCTGGATACCAGTAGCGCACTGCCAAATTTTGAAGGGAGCCGCCGCTCCCAGCCACCCCATCGGCATCACGGGCTTTGGCTTGACCATAGTCAACCCTGGTCAAACCCCGTTCCGGCCCCCGGTCAAACCCCAGGCAGCGCCTTGTCAGACCCCAGCGTCAGGCCGCAACAGAGGTCGATGAAACCCTGGCAGGCGCCAGAATCACTTAAACCCTGGCGCCTGCCAGGCAGCTGCCAGTGCGTGCAGTGACCCCCACCTGCCAGTTTCCTCGTCAAATTGCAGCTGGCCGCGCGCAAAAATCAGGTGCAGGGTGTCCTTGGCGCGCGTCACGCCAGTGTCTGCGAGGGGTTCAGGGTTTTGGGTTGTAGGGTTGTAGGGTTTCAGGGTTCAGGGTCCAGGGTTGTTCAGGGTTGTGAGGTGCACCGTCACTGGTCAGGCCGCGTCCAACCGCCGCGTTGTGTGGATCGCTGGTCAGCAAAGCGGGTGATTTCGAGGGTTGGGCGGGCCCAGGTGTTCTAAATGTGGTGGGCGCGCGAACAGGCGCGGCACTGCGCTTTTAACAAGGAGGGGGGGGTGCCCAGAAACGCCAGGCCTGCGCGGTGGCGGCACCCTCGACGCATGCAGCTGCTGGGTGCGCCGGTGGGCAGTGTGGCCGGGTCGCAGGTGGCGGCGTGGGGCAGCCCCGGAGGGGGTTGCACAGGCGGGCCGGCCGCCGCCTCCGCCGCAGCGCTTGTAGTTGCAGGAGCGTGTCCCTGATGGCCCCTTTGACCAAGGCCGGCCGGCGGCGTGCAGAGGAGGCCCCAGGGGAGTCGCACCGACCAACGCCGGCAAACGGTTCAGGGTTTAGGATTTTGCGTTCAGGTTCCAGGGTTCAGGGTTTGGGGGGGCTCACATATGAGGTTCTTTGACTGGAATTGCTCTGCAGGTGTCTCCCCATCGCTGGAGCGGCGGTGGGGCATGGGGGGTTGCAAGGGGTTGGGG